TGGGTGATTACTGGCTGATCCAACTGACCATATGTCAGATAGATATTGCGTGGCAGCGAGGTACTGGATTGAAATTAGATTCCGTTAATTTTTCCAAATAAATCCGTTTTTTTATTTGCTTTGAGAATGTCCGGCGTTGTTTAGCCTAAATATCAGGGTTTTCCAGGCATAGAACAACATATTCAGAATTCAGATCCTCTGTATAAAAATATATTAAATTAATTAATTTTATATCTGAGACGCCATTAAAACTTTGCATTCAGATTTTTTTGAAAAACTCGCTAAAGAGCGTGGTAAGTCTTCGAAAGACAGAAAGAAACGAAATTCAGATGATGAAAGCGAGGCGTCGAGCGAAGAGTCAGAGGTATGGCTCAAATTGATCCTGATCATCTTTCGTGATATTCAAGTTATTATGCGTGGTGTAACGGTAGTTGTATTTCTCAGCATGGATATGACTGATACAACTTGGTAGTGATGGGCATGCTACTTATTCTAGTGAAAAGATGAGTATGTGACTTTTAGTTTTGTAACTCAACAAGTTTTCTGCAAGTTTTCCGTTAATTGAAAACATGTTTTTAAGTAAATTAAATGTATCAAGGAAATATTCCAATTTCACATGTTTTACGAACGGTATTTACGTTCTGGTGCCGAAGATGGCGAAGTTTAACAAGAAATATCTCAACCTGCTTGAAACACTGAGCATGAAACGGTGTCACAAATCTGCTCTTATAAACACAACAAGAGTTGTCTGAAAATAATAGGTACTATAAAGGTAATACAGCAGTTGGTACTTTGTAAGTACTGCAAAGAATTAACTTGTTGATGGTTGGCAGTTTGTGGTTCCCAGTTGTAGACGCATTAATGCAGGACATAGCTATCAGCATTTTACCTTCCTAATGTTGTGTCCTATTATCTTATTGACGCAGTATTCCCCAGATTTGAAATTCTGACTAAGTATGTGACCACGTGTTAGCTCTAAAGTTGTTGTGACTAATCTGCATAAATGAGAGTTCTGAAAAGTTTATTTCCCTCCGCCGTGACGCAGTTTGGATGATCCATCATTATTTTGATAACGGGAATTCTAACTAGTGTATTATCAACCTCATTATGCCGTTACTGCATATCTGTTGAAATAAAAGACATTCTGACGGCTAACCTCTTCAAGCACTAGGTTATGAAGGGCTTGTTGTGGCACGGTCAGTATTAATACTTGAAGAGATGGTAAACCCTTTTAATCGTATTGTTTATCTCAACTCAGGATGAACTCCACCAGTATGTATGAATGAACATTATTTTTTCTTCTAGGATTGTAGAATGCTCATTAGAACTTATGGAAAATTGCCAGTCCTCTGATTAAAGGATGGTTATCTTGTTTTTAATACTATTATGTTATTTTTAGGATGAACGCAAACGAGTTAGAAGAAGAGATGCAGGTGATGAGGCGAGGATAAAGGTTTTGTTCACTTTTAATCGTTTTATATTTTAGGCCGCGTAAAGCGTGATCTTGACCCAATGGACCCCGCTGCTTACTCTGACGTTCCTCGGTAAGTTGTTATATTTTATATTTTTTTCGTCATGTGATACCCTTGCTATCGGCTTGGTCTTGAATACCCTTGCCCTCGTTCTACAAATGTGTAGCTAATGAGCTTTCCATTAGATCGTGGAACCTGAAGTATAGACTTGAATAATTTCGCAGTTATTTATCGTTCAGGATGTATTTTCTATCTTTCAAACCAACAAATCGTTTCCTTGCCATATTGATTAACATTGGGTCTATAAAACGGCTGCTAATACTTACTTCACTAAATTACTTACTTCAGAGCTGATTAACCAGCTTCTGGCTGCATAATTGGGTATCATGGAGATTTGCTGAAGTATGGGTGATTCCTTTGTTGATGCTGAGAAACACCTGCCTAATCACCTGTTTTGTTATGTCGCATCTGTCAAAACCGGAAATTCACTTTCTGCGGCTATTTGATGGCCAACAATTTCTGAACTTCCTTTTTCCCTGCCACTCCTGCGTCGTTATAAGATTTCGTTCAGGTATCAAATGATTCAACGTCTGGGGTGAGCATGAAGCGAAGCCAGTTACCAGAAGTTTGATACGACTATTCTTTGAAAGTAAAAGAATCATGAGATTATACGATATGCTTCCTATGTAGCTGCTGATATTGCGAAAGAGTGACAGAAATTTTGAACCGTTAGGATGTCGGTATCCAGTACACTTTCTTATTAAGAGTCATGTAAAGCCTTTTTTTTCATAAACCTTATGACGCGGTAATGACTTCCGTTTCTGTTGCGTCAAGCAAAACAGTTTCCTGTCTCCTACTTGGGTTCAGAAGGAAGAAAGGCGATTGACCCTACTTGGGCTCCAACCTGTCACTTCTTCAGTTTGAGTCTAACGCTGTTCCGATCGAGCAACCTTCATCCGTCGAGAAAGAATTAACTCTCGCGAAAAGGGTGGCACGTATAGAGCACATCACAGAAGTGCGATGGAAACGGATGTCCAAGGCGTTACTCAAATTCCCGGTTGTTTACATGTTTTTGGACGAATGGAAATGTTCATCTCTGGGGTAAACATACCTGTTTTGAACCATGTTGTTTAGAACTTATTTTTCGTTAGAGTTAGTGCTGAATGCTTAGAGTCATATGTGATAGCTCATAGACTTTGTTATGAGGATGTTAGGATGTTCACTAATTTTTGTTCTATTGTTTTTTGGAAACCGCTTAATGATTTTTATGGTTCATCGAGTTTGTTGCTTCTGTAGCGGTAGATGGTCAACTGGATTGGATGCTCGAGGAGAAGCCAAAACAGGAGTTGACTCGACAGTCAGTGGCCCTTTGTTCCAGCAGAGGCCTTACCCTGCACCAGGAGCTATTCTTCGACAAAATACCGAGACGCATGACAAACGAAAGCGATAAACTGCTTCCACACGTACTGTAATGCATTGTTCGTTGTACTTTTGTATCTAAGTGAATAAACAAAATCTGTATGTTGAGTTTATGTGCCGTAAAACTTTGAAAATCCAGGTCCAGGATCTATATCAACTAAAGACTTGCCTATGTTTTCTTTAATTGTTTGAACATTGTGAATACACACATCTGGACAAGAGTTCCTTACGGTTATCTGATATTTAAGCGAAAAAAATATAACAGCATTCATGTTACTACATAGGCTAATTTCAAAGAAACGAGTAGGCTGAATATATCAAAGATTAATTGACTGTTGGTGTGGGGTAATTAATTGCAGTGGAATATTCTCTGGTCGCCGGTGTTTCAGAACTATCTGCTACCTGCCTTTGCCTTAATCTCTGGCGTCACTGTTGGTCTTTCTGTTGTAACGTAGAGAAACTCTGTTACCAATGCTGAATTTGCAGATTTTCGATCTTCGCTCCGCATCTCCTTTTGAAACTGTACGGAGGCAAAAACCAAACAAAGAAACTATTACGGAACATGTGTATTTGTCCAAACAATGTATCAAAGTCGAATGGATTCTAATGTAAACTGGTCGCAACAAATAAATGTTAAGTGGTCTAACCGCCATGCGCGACTTTATTCGTACTGCATAGGTGCGCTGCTTGTAACAGCCCCCTGCCAGGTATCTCTCCTAAGACATTCGTCCAACCAGGTGAAAAAAATGGCAGTACTACGATATCTAGCTAACAGTCATTACCGTCTACCGGCTATATCGTCAACACGAACGGTCGCTCGAAGTTTCAGTTGCTGAAATATAGCGTGGAATCTTAACACTGGACTGATTTGCGTAGACAAGATGATCAAACCATAAAAACGCTTTTAAGCCTCTTAATTACTATTTCGTTTGTAAGTCGCAAAAAATTTTAAAACATTTAATGTTGATCACTCGGGAGCAGATCACAAAAAAACCGAATTTATACTCAATTAAAAACAGTACAGCTGAGTTCTTCTGGTCACCGGTTATCAGATGGTCAGCCACAAATATCTGCGAAATACGTCTGAAAATTAATATACAGTATGGAAGTAGTATTTCATAACGAAACGGCATATCATACAATAACATGGTAGCAATAAGTTGCTAATATAATTTACCTAGCGAGATCAACGAAGTCATTGTTGAATGTCCCATAGCTTCTCATGTTGAATAGGAGCAGTTCTTATTCGGGCATTAACCCCATTCTAAAGTGCACAGCTAATTTTAGAAAATATATGCAATGTAATGAGAATATCGTATCAAAATACAACTCAAAATGGTTAATTTATACACAGAGCAATATGAGTATATGAAGTAATGGCAGACCATTATCTAGGCTCATACGATGGAAACAATTGTAGGTAATGTGTTTGCAGCAACTGATCGGCAGGCAGCCGGAATGCAAGCTTTAAAGGCCATGCTGCTGTCAGAAAATTTCGCATCAAATTCTAAACGATGCCCCGTAAAATTATGGACCCAATGTTATGTTCGGTTTCGGATGATTCGCTTCGGCGTATGCCAAAATCAGTGGAGTCGTACTCTCAAAACCTTCAGATGCCGGGATCGAAGGTCTTTGACGGTCACTCTCCTTTCTTCCTTTCGTGGAAAAGAAACAGAAGCAAAAACATTATGTTTGCAACATTACTGTTATCGACTCTACCCTTAACATATGGCACTACTGACTGATGACGTGCAAATGCAGATAAGCGCCCCAGCACGATGAAACGAAGCGCATCAATATTCGAACGATTCAGAACTTCCTTTCTTCTCTTCCTTCCTCTTCCAGAGCAGTGAGAACAGTTTCGGCTTAACAGCTGTCAGTCAAACTCTTTAAGAAGTCGATTCGACGGTCATGTTACCGGATCGCAGCGAGCTTCCGTGGACTTGATCCCTAGGAAACTCATCGAAGCTGTGACATGCACAAGCCGTTCAACAATGAAAACTTTTCTGCAGCTGAGGCTATACATAAGGTACCCCCTTTCTTGCTAACACAATACACCCACTTGTGCATTTGAATTACTGCGAAATGATTCACCTTTAGTTCATGTCAGTTAAGTGTTTCATAGTTCACTTTCTTTTATCGCACCGTTCTCTAACTTTACGGCATCGTCATAGCGCACAGAATGTTGCTTCTATTCATATGAGCGACCGCTTTGCTTTTAAATCTACTCATCGTTGTTGACAATGGAACCGTGGTACTTGAATTCCGGGAGTTCAATTCAACTTGCTCTGTTACTTTTATACAAAGTACAGTAAAACTACTGTCATAAAAATTAAGTGCGCAAACTACTTTTAATCTCCGTTTGTGGCGGCCCACTGACCTGCAGAAGAGTCAGGCTGATAACATCAAGCGAAGATGCGGCAGGTTTTCTAAATGTGCCTGCATCCCTTGTTCTGACGCAGCTTCTACGATAGTGACGCGGCCAGAAAAAGATGGCTTCAATTCTCTAAGGCAAACATCCCCTTGACTCACAACCGGAAAGAAACCATTTGATCCTGGGACCCAGTGATCGTCTGAGGGTGACAAACGGCAGAGAGAGTTCCTCTGGGTAGTAAATGTATCGATCACGAAGTGTATTTGATATTTCTGTTTTTACTACCGAAATAAACTTTCACTATGGAACCACACCTGGGTGTCACATAAGATTACGACTTTAATGCTTGAATGGCGTCACGGATTAACATCGTTTTCGCAGCATACAAATGGGAACCATATCACGAAAAGAAAGAAAAATATTTGGCACTGCATAAACATAAAGGATATTTACATCCACATATTGGTATAATATCAACGCCTAAAAGAGCTTTCCTGCTTGACCGAGAACCGGCACTATTCGACAAACTTTCAGCTACTGCTGAATTTGTAACCTTAGAATTGGCGAGACTTAAAGACGGATAGATGGATTATAGCATTAAAGAAGAATAACAAAAAAAAGACTGCGAATAAACAGCAGAGCAAGGTGAAAGAACTAGTTGTACTATGCCATTCCAGAATAGCTTCTGAAGTTATTAAGAGCAGAAGTTATGAAACTGTGAAAAACATCACTCTGAGAGACCTACATCCAAAATATCTTAACCATTGTTGAGAATCAATTATTATTCTCCACAGGGATTGCATGAGCGACCAGTTACAACTTGCGATGTAAAGTCTTCTGATGACAAAACGTTTAGCACTGGCAAAAATTTAAGGGATCGAAGCATCGCCATAAGATCGCAGGCGAGCGGCACAAAGAGGATAACGGGAGTGGCATGTCAACATC